TACAGTCCCAACGAAGGGGATGGTGTCCTTGATCTTTGGGATCCTGAGGTTGAAGGCACTGGGAATCAGCATTGGCTTGGTACCAAGGCTCAGTGTCAGCTCAGTACCAAAACCTCATGTTGGTGTCAGGATTGCCGCCTTGGTGTTGAACCCACAGTATCGATGCCTTGGTGTCAATGTTCTCAGTACTGAGGTTTGGCATTGTTTAGGTACTAAGAGTCCCAGCTATCATCATAGAGGCTCTGGAGCCCTCTTGGGAGTGGCATGGAAGTGGCAACCAGTTGGAGACCCAGTCCCATTCAATAAGGGGAGAGTGGGATCTATCCTGATGTTCTCCAGTTGTTGACTGCAGTGCTGATCCCAGTGAGGCATGGATAGATTGCTTTGGCATTGAGCTGGCCATCAAAGGCAGTATTGACAGTCTGGCAAGGTGTGGGCAGATTGCCTTATTGTCGAGCTGATCTCAGAAGATGGTGGCATTGGCTCATGAGAGTGTACAAACTGCCTCGATGATGATGCCTGGGTTGGTGGTCAGGCTGGAGAAGTGCTAGAGCCATCTTTAAATTCTCCTTCTAACACAAATGTGGCATGAACTGGATCCTTTTTTGGTGCTAGGGGCTGTGGCTGCTTGGAGAGCAAGATCAAGTGGATCTTTTGGAGTTGGGGATTGTTGGGGGCTCTTGCAGCACCTTCTTTTCTCCTTGGTGGTAGTAGTGGCTGTATTTTGGAGGCATTTTGCCACTTTCCTGCCCATGTGATCATCAGATAAGTTGCTTGGTTGGGGGGAACCTGGATCAACCAGGTCACTGGGGCAGAAGGGCAATCCCACTCCATGTGCACTGTGTATGGAGTGCACCTGTGTCCAAAAGTTCCAAAGTATGACTTCTCCAAAGTATGACTTTCAGGTGGTGTCTCTGGGTCTGTTTAGTGAAGGTCTGGCAGTGAGAAGAGGCCTCCACAACATGTCACTCACCCAGTCAGAAGAGGCAAAGGAAGTAACCATGATGAGGGAGGGAGCCTGCTGTCATGGTGCAGTCAGCTCCTAAATGCTGCCAAGGGTAAATGGGGAAGGAGGGAAAAAGGCAGAGGAGTGCAGTGACTTGATAGAGGAAGTGACATCAAAGACAAAGGGAAGGGAGAAAAATATATTTTTGTAGACTTTTCTTTTTAGAAGAAAGAGTGAAGAGTGCACTCAAGAACGAAGAAGAAAGACGAGAAAGGGTATTTGGAGAAGAAGATGAGAGAAAGGAGATGGGGAAAAATGGTAAATACTCAAAGGTGAGGAGAGAAGCCCTTCCCAATCTCAGCACAATGGCAATCAAAAAGAAACTGAAGGAAGTTTCTGATGGTTTGCAGAAAGGTGGGCAAGAAGAGGATTGCCACCAGAGCCAAGTCTGGGAGGAGTCTGTCCGGGAGACGATGATGGGAGGAAATATCCTTGACTTGGTCTTGACCAACAGGGAGGAGCTGATAGATGGGGTGCAGATTAGGGGAACTCTGGATGTGAGTCCATCCTTTGCTTTGAGATCAGGGGAACGGGGATGTGAAGCAGGTCGAGTACTAGAAGCTGGAACTTTACGAGGGTCAACTTTGGTCAACTGAAGGCCAGACTGGGGAAAGTCTCCTGGGAAAGGGTACTGGAAGGCAAGGGAGTTCAGGGGGTGGATGACACTCAAAAGGGAGGTCTTGGAGGCACAAGCCTAGGCGATACTGCTAGTTAGCAGGGCAGGGAGGCGAGGAGAGCACCACCAGGGATGAGAAGTTGTAAGAGGCATTAGGTGTAAGAGGAACGTCCATAGGAAATGGCTACTGGGGCAAGTAGACAAAAGGGTATACCAGGAGGAGGAGGAGGCTCATTGAAGAAGGATTCTTCATAAGGCTACAGCTGTTTATGAGCTGAGACTTGCAAAGAATATCAGCATCAACATGTAAATAGCAGGAGGAAGGGGAGACAGGTGGTGGGACCGCTTAATAAGGAGGAAGGGGATTCAGTGATTGATGTGAGAGAAAAGACACAGAGGCTAAATGTCTATTTTGCCTCTGTGTTCTCCCCAAAGCAGGATGTGGGAGATCTGCATGGGGAATTGGATGAGGCTGGGGATTTAGGGGGACAGATTAGAGTTATCCCCCTAGAGGTCAAGGAGGTCCTCAGGGCACTGGATGTTAGAAGGTGCAAGGCCCTGATGGGTTACACCTAAGGATACTTAGGGAGATGGTGGGGATACTCTCACATCTGCTGCCCTCCATTTTTGAGGCCTCATGGAGAACAGGTGAGGTTCCAGAGGACTGGAGGGTGGCATCAGTGGTCCCAATCTTCAGAAAGGGCAGTAGAGGGGACATGAGAAATTACAGGCTGGTTAGCCTCACGTCCATTCTGGGAAATACAATGGAAAGGCTCATAATAGCAAGAGATCTAGTAACCCTAGATAAGGAAGGGAGGTTGGTGGTCACACAACATGGCTTTGGCAAAAACAGATTCTGCCAGACAAACCTTGTGGAATTCTATGACAAGGTTTAAAGGTGGCTAGATGGCCTTTGACAAAGTGTCACATGATGTCCTGGTCAAGAAATTGAGCAGTTTTGGGATAGAACAATGCACTCTTCGATGGTTTAGAGCATGGTTGATGGACTGAAAACAGAGGGTAACTATTAGTGGGAAATCATCCAGATGGCAGTCGGTGACAAGCAGGGTCCCCCAGGTCTCTGTCCTGGGACCGATCCTGTTCAATCTTTTCATCAATGACCTAGAAGAAGGGGTAAAATGCGGGCTGATCAGATTTGCAGATGATACTAAAATGGGGGCAGTGTCTCCAACTGAGCAGCAGGTACTCTGGATCCAAAGGACAGACTATGGAATGGGGCCGGGAACAACAGGAAGGCACTCAATGCAGATAAGTGCAATATCTTGCACTTGGGGCACAGGAATGGGTGTCATAAGGACAGGTCAGAGGACATAAGTACAGGTTCTGGGCCCCTCATTACAAGAGGTTGGAATTGGTACAGCAAAGGGCCACAAGGATGGTGGTTGGTTTGCAGGGTAAGCCAGATGAGGAGAGACTGAGGGAGCTGGGTCTTTTTAGCTTTGAGAAGAGGAGACTCAGAGGGAACCTGTTAGCGACAGACAGGTATGTGTGGGGGTGTCAGGCTGATGTATGTAGTGACCCTTTTCCTCCTGCGGTGGAGGGTAGGGCACATTCCAATGGAGCATAGCTCAGGGAACCAAGATTCAAGGCGGATGCCAGGGAGTACTTCCTGATGGTTGGGACCCCAAGGGTCTGGAATGGGCTTCCATGGGAGGTGGTTGAACCCCATCGGTGAGGGTGTTTAAGGATAGGCTGGACATGCACATGGTAGGCATGTCATGAGTGGAGCTGGCTGGAGCTGGGGGTCAGACTAGATGGCCTGGGAGACCCCTTTTGACTTGCACCATTTCTATGTTCTATGAATGCAGGGGAGCTCCTCCTGGGTAACGCGGAACAGGAGAGTAATGTGCAACAGGAGAGGGAGGGGCTCCCACACAACAGAATGCTTAGCTATAGAGCAGGGAAGGCCAAACTGAGGGTCAGGACTTTTGAGTTTATCTTGCAGTTCACAGCTTACTGCCCACAAGTCTCTATGGATGCCCACTTGCTGCTGCCCATGGGCGCTCTCTTGTGGCTGTCAAACATCCAACATTTATCATATGTGGCTCTTCTGTTGAGCTAGTCTGGGCACCCCTGCTATAGAAGCTTCCCAAGAACAGGCTCAGTTCAGGCACAAAGCCCATATGTGCGATGCTTGTAAAGACCTGGTTAATGTTAATGTGCTAGAAGTAAGAACGACCCATTCACCATTACCCATACCATGGTGACCCCCAGCTAGCATTGTTATGTGTTGTGTACTGGACTCCCTCTGAAGATTTCTACAAAATTTACAACAGTCCAGACTATAGTTGCTAGGCTATTAACTGCAACCGGATATATACACAATGTATCCTGAAAATTATTAAAGAAGTACAGCGGTGCTGTTCTGTTCTCAAGCACAATTCATATTATAGGATAAGGTACGCACATTTTGAAACAGTGATCTAAGATTCCTGGCTTACTGTCAGCATTACCATGTCAACTGGAGAAAGTACTTCTCTATGTTTTAGAATTAGTTCTGAAAGCCTGCAACAAAATAGTTCCAGCCTCTTTGATCGGGGATGCTTCAATCCACTCCCCTTACCTCCAACAATCAGCCATAATTCTCAAGTGCATTCTTCATCGGACAATTTTAAAATTCCCCTTAACATTTTCCATAAAGATTTTTGTACTTTTTTGTACTTCTACAAAGCTCTGGGTCCTTCCAAGCTTGCTGATGCCTCTCCCCTGTATGTGGATGGCGCTGTTTTGTACTTACCTCTCAGCTGCACTTTGAATGAATGATTAAGCTTTCTTCTCTGGCCTTATTCCAGCCAAACTTTGCCCTACCAATTTAAGTTGTGCCCCTGATGTTTGTTCAATGGAGATGGTAAACAAGGTGGAAGGAAGGTAAGTAGGCAAGAGCAAGGAAGATAACAATGGATACAACAATTTTGAGCTGGAAGCAGAAAGGGAATGGCAAAGGAATTTTCTTCCCCCCCATCCCCAAGTCCTCACTTGCAAGTCCTCACTTGTCTCTTTTTACGTTTTATGTATCGTGCAACTGATGAGGCAAGCCCTTACACCCACAGAAGTTCATGCCAAAATATATAAATAAGGATAAACAGTTCGGTTATTATTTCCAAGGATTAATGGAAAACTTGCTTATGTGAGAGACTATTACACAATTTTTTCATTTTAAAGATTTGCTTCTAGATAAAACATTGAGCACAGCATCAGTAAGTGACCAATTTTAGAGGTGTAGGTAATATCACAATCCTGAACAGATGATATATACACAGGGACATGCAGTGATTTCAAGGATTCAGTATGAGAGCATCTGCAATGCAACCCAGCCCATTCTTCAATGCAAATATATCCCACATACAAATTAAGTACCTCTTCATCCTTGTACCAGGATAAACTCTCTGCTGTCAGGACAAACCAATACTCCTTGGAACCACCTTTCATGATGCTAATGTTGTTGATGGTCAGCCAGCCTCGCCGGATGACCTGGAAGAAATCAAGGTGTGGGAGGGGAGGATGAAGGAATGAAGAACAGATTACAGCCTCTCTTGGAAAATACAAGTGGAAGGGGGCTACTCCAAGGCTAAGATGTTTGGTAGAGTGACTTCCTAAAATTTGAGCCCTAGCTGCAGCATGACATTAACGGGAAAGACTTAAATGCACCTCAGCTTACAATACCATGGTATTGGCAAGATCTGAGCACACTGATAATTCCCACATACAAGCTCTTACCCAATGTTTTAGGCTGGCTCTGAACTGCTAGGCAACCTAGCTTATGATTGAAAAATTCAGGAGTATTATCCATGCTGAGCAAGGAAATATTAGAATTTTGCAAGACTGAATTGAAAGAATGCCTTGACACTCAGTTTTACCAAGAAACAAGACAAGGGAAACCTGAGCACCTGTGCCAAAAAGCAGGGTACCAGAAGAAATAAGCCTGTAAAGTAGACTTTTTATGCATTGCCATGACCAAGGCTCTGTAGCAGCAAGCAAATCGGAAAGATCAACAGGATGACAAGACTCAGGGATAGTCAAGGAGGAATATTTAAGTATTCTGCATAGTAGCCAAATGCTCAGTGGCAAACAAGCCCATGTTGCCACAAGTAAAAGCCAGGCAGGGGCTGCTTCACTTTACAGCATCAGGCAGAATGTTTCTAGTTCAACTTGGCATCAGTATGAACCCAGCAAGAAACAGCAACTGAAAAATCTTACCACACCCTTATGATTAGCAAGCTTTTGTCACAAGAAAAGTCTGAAAAGATGCAGGCAGCAGCCACAGTATACTGGTGACAACAGTTAGTCTTTCTGTTCTATAACAGCACATGCTCAATTTATAGAAAAGCAGCCAGAAAAAGACACTTTTAAATTATCAATTTATTATTTAAGTTATGCTGAGCTGTCTTGAAGGATAAAACCCTCTCAGAGTAGCTATAAAGCTAGTGACAAACTCTGGACATAAGGGGGACTCCTGGCTGAATTTTCATGGGCCAGTCCCTGCTTAGTTTGGTCCAGAACTCCAAAAACCTTTGCTCCTCTCAATAGCATCAGAAGGATAGAGTCTGTCCTGCATTATTTCATCACTTGCAGGTTGTGAGATACACATTGAATGTGTTCATATGACATGCTAAGCCACCCTGCAAAAAAAATACAATGTGTGGGTTGTTTGCAGAATAACCCACAGTGCTCCTAACTAGATGATCTACAGCTGGTTGTCCCGCCTCTTCCCCTCAGTCCTCCAGCTACTATCCCAGTACCCCTCAAAGTAGAACCGATCTTGTCTCCTTCTCCCTGCTCTAATCACAACTCCCTTTTTGTTCGGCATCACTTTTTTGAAAGCCTCTAAAAGATGTAATTGGGGCTGGGTTCATGCTTCAGCCTGAGAGTTGTTGTTGTTGTTGTTGTTATTATTATTATAACATTTCTATGCCGCCCCTTGCCGAAACCTCACATTTTAAAAAATGCTGGTCTTTCACGGGTTTGCAAGTACTAACATGTGTGGGTCCAACATGAATAGTCTTTCCCAGTCAATTTCCCTTGTCTGTTTCATGTGTTATAGGGAAAGACAAACTGAAATAACTAATAGATTGATAAAACAAGACTGCATCTGGACTAATTTGTACACAGCTCAGTTGCAAAGCACTGAAAATGTGTAAAAACCAGAAAGCAGGTGCATCATAAGGGGGTGGAGGTAAGATAACCCTATTAGCAATGTAATCCTTTCAATTTTAAATTTGAACCAATAGATCTCACTGCACTTCACCAATTCAGCACTTCCCCATGACTCAAACTACTCCAGAAAAGGAAGTAGTAGCTCAC